GTGAGTCTTCAAAATCATCCTAAAAAGTTGTCATTATTCATTTCATTTAATAGGTAAGGAAACAAGTTCAACAAGGCTTTCTTGTAGCTTGCCTAAAGTCACAAAGTTACTAGGTGCCACAGCAGATATCAGAAGCCAGGTCAGTCAGTGTTTCCTACTCTAAGTGTGTAAGTGGTAGGGAGAGAGAGAACTGCAGCTTCAAAAATTTTTTATGATCTCACTGTCTCTGAGATAGTGAGATCATAAAAAATTGTAACATGAAATTTAGTTAACTTTCATGGAAGGGAGACAATTTAGGATTTTCTAAAGATGGTGTCAAGGCTATAGTATTGCAGTATAACTTGTTTATTTAATATTTGGTTCCAAAGAGTTTTTTTTTTTTTTTTGAGATGGAGTCTCACTCTATCACCGAGGCTGGAGTACAGTGGCAGGATCTTGGTTCTTTGCAACCTCTGCCTCCCAGTTTCAAGCGGTTCTCTTCTCCTGCCTCAGACTCCTTATTAGCTGGGATTACAGGTGTGTGCCACCAAGCCTGGCTAATTTTTTTTTTTTGAGACGGAGTTTCGCTCTTGTTACCCAGGCTGGAGTGCAATGGCGCGATCTCGGCTCACCGCAACCTCCGCCTCCTGGGTTCAGGCAATTCTCCTGCCTCAGCCTCCCAAGTGGCTGGGATTACAGGCATGCGCCACCATGCCCAGCTAATTTTTTGTATGTTTAGTAGAGACAGGGTTTCACCAGGTTGACCAGGATGGTCTCGATCTCTTGACCTCGTGATCCACCCGCCTTGGCCTCCCAAAGTGCTGGGATTACAGGCTCGAGCCACCACGCCCGGACCAATTTTTGTATTTTTTAGTAGAGTTGGGGTTTTGCCACGTTGGCCAGGCTGGTCTCAGATGCCTGACCTTATAATCTGCCTGCCTTGGCCTCCCAAAGTGTGGGGATTATAGGTATGAACCACAGTTCCTGGCTGGTTCCAAAGACTATTAAAAACTACTTTATTGATATAAATCATGTACCATAAAATTCACCCTTTAAAAGTATATGGTTCAGTTTATGTTTAGTATATTCACGGAGTTGTGCAAGCATCACTCTTATCTACTTTTAGGACATTTCCATCACACCAAAAAAAAAACATTCTGTACTCATCGGTGGTCATTCCCACCCTTCTCACCTCAAGTTCTTTTAAAGGTACAACTTGATTGTTTAGACAAATGTGGAGAAGCATTTTCCCCCAATACCTTACTAAGAAAATGTTTACCCTAAATAACTAGTGTTTGGTAGAAAATTTTGTGATCACCTTGAGGATTCAGTTTCTTCTTACACTGAGCGAGAGGGTGAAAAAACTATTATCTTTAGAGCTTGCATAAGCAAGTGATTTCCATGTATAAATCTCTGCCCTTTTATTCAGGACCCTGCAGTGCGTGGCATTCAGCAGGTGCTCCCTACATGTGTGGGACGGACCAGCAAGTAAGGAAGCAGGGGCAAGAACAACAAAAAAGAGCTCTAACACATTTTACTAACTGGTATCACAATTTCCCGCCAATAGACTTTAAATTTTCTTAGCCTTAAAAAAGAAAGCACAAGACACCAACATATGTTATATATAAACACACAAGAAGCAACCAAACCCAATTACATGCACCACAGGGAGGTAAAAAAAAAAAAAAAAAGAAATCACACTCATCCTTTGAGGAGAAATGCTGGCTCAAGTGAACATCTCCCCCACTGAGATTTCTTTCTGTTGTTTGAGCTCAAGCTAGCCATAAACAAACTTGAATAGTATTAAAAAATGTCATTAAGAGTTTCTTGGAATGGTGATATAGTCTGTGAACTTGAACTCTACCAAAGAAAGAGATAATCAGAATATACTAGCAACCAGAAGAACAGCATGAAGATGGAAGCAAGCAGCAAGATGCCCATCAACAAATCTGCCCCACTGCCCAGAGGCAATCAGTGCAAATATTCTGGTACATTTCTCGGTTTTTACCTATGCCATTCTAGGAAAAACATGAGAGAAAATCTATGTAAGCCTGAATCCCCTTAGCCTATATAGCTGTGTAGTATTTTTCCTTCTCATAGTGTGTTAACTTGGCTAGGATATAGTCCTTGGTTATTCAGATAATGTATCTAGGTGTTGTTTTGAAGGTATTTTGTAGATGTGATTATAATTCAGTTTTTTATTTTTTTGAGACAGGGTCCTACTCTGTTGCTCGGGCTGGAGTACAGTGGCACAATCTTGGCTCACTACAACCTCTGCTCCCAGGTTTAAGTGATCATCACACCTCAGCCTCCTGCATAGATGAAACTACAGGTACACCACCACATCCGGCTAATTTTTTTTTGTAGAGGTGGGGTTTCACCATGTTGCACAGGCTGGTCTCAAACTCCTGAGCTCAAGTGATCCACCTGCCTTGGCCTTCCAAAGTGCTGGAATTACAGGAGTTAGCCACTGTCCCTGGTCAGACTTTAATCTGAGTGAGCTGATTCAGTTTGAAGGCCTTAAGAGTAGAGTTGAGGCTTCTCTGAAAAAATTTCACCTGCACTGCTTCAGCCCCTGCTAGAGAATTCCAGCTTGACCCTTCTGATGGCCTGCTTTACAGATTTATGGACTCACATAGCCAGCGCTCACAATTGTGCAAGCCAATTTCTTGCAAGAAAACTCTTTAATAAAGCTATATCTATCTACTACTGGTTCTGCTTCTTGGGTTGAATCTTGACTAATACACATGAGAAAAGAATACTATGACCACGTTCCCAAGCAAGTAGTGCCCTAGGATACTGCATTCTTTTAGGTGATTATATTATTAGACTAAGAAGCAGTGATTAACATGCCAGATCCCAGACTTTCTTTGCCCTTAGGTCCTGATATGGTTTGGCCTTTGTGTCCCCAGCCTAAATCTCACCTTGAATTGTAATAATCCCCATGTCAAGGGCAGGACCAGATGGAGATAAATGAATTATGGGGGGGTGTTTCCCCCATGATGTTCTTGTGATAGTGAGTTCTCATGATATCTGATGGTTTTATGAGGAGGCTTTCTCCCTTTGCTCGGCACTTCTCCTTCCTGCCAACATGTGAAGAAGGACGTGTTTGCTTCCCCTTCCACCATGATTTTAAGTTTCCTGAGGCCTCCCCAGCCACGAGGAACTGTGAGTTAATTAAACCTCTTTCCCGTATAAATTACCCAGTCTAGGGTAGTTCTTTATAGCAACATGCAAATGGACTAACACAGGTCCAATTTGGCCACCCCTCAACCTCTCAAACCATTGGAGCTGACTTCCTGGGCAGTCTTAATATGATTACCTTCCAACTCTCCAGGGAATATCCCAGGAGCAATTTCAGAAACTACTAACTCCAACGCTGGATTGGAGGACAGGAAAATTCTTAGCAGAGGCTAATTGGAGATACACGCTTTGCCCCAGGATCTCTAGAACCATCTCAATACTTTGAAATTTTTTACCTTCAGACACTGGGTAATGAATGTTAAGTACAAAATTGTGGTGTTCGCACCAAGGACTCATGACTTGCCTCAGTTTGGCTGCTGGACCTGTATTGCATTTCCTCACCTCGAGGGCAGTCGAGTGAGACAGGGCCGTAAGCTGACTCACTAAAAGCAACAACAGAATGCAAAGCAAAGGCCTGCAGTTTATGAGGACATTGTGCTGTCTGCTCCCATGTCCCCCTTCAGTCTCTGTGTACGCAATAAACTTGCTGCAATTGAAATGTCTAAGAGGAGCAGAGACCTCTGCCCATATTTTCCCTGGAGCCAAGCCTTTGTTTTAGCTCCTGATGAAAAACAGGTTTAACCAGCCACCTTAAGGGCGCCACTGTATCTTTGGAATGTAAAATCATTGAAATGTAAACTACTACCACTAGCCCCCTTAAACTGCTTCCTGAGCAGGATATCACAAGCCCCGGATATCTTTTTTATGGAGTTTCTGTTTCCTTTCTGTTTTCCCCTTTGTTTCTTTCTGCTGAGATGAGGTAAATGTAAACAAGACAAAAGGTATAAAAACTGTAACCCACAAAAATAAATTTGCTGCGTTTTGGCCATAATCTTCACGCAGCCCTCCAGACTCTACTTTTCTATGTTCTTTCTTTCCCGCGCACTCTCTCTCTCTCAGGTTGAACGAGACATCTACGTTGGCGGTCTCGGGGACTCCCGCAGGTCGGTAGTCCCCCGGCAGACGTGCCGGACCCCGACACAAAATATTAATGGGTATTGTGGTTAATTAGGAATAATAGGCAGAAGATTACGACCCATTTCAGCCCATCCTAAAATTCACATTTTATTACATTTAGGGTTGTGTCCAGAAAGGGGATCATCACTTAATTTTAGCAAGTCCCCAAACATAGTTGTTTTGACTTTATGTGAAACTAGAAGTTACTGATTACCCTGAATAATTTACATTTGAGCCTACTGAATGATGGTTCAAGAAAACTTGCAAATCTGATACCACAGTGAGATACTCAATGTTTTTTTTTTTTTTTTTTTTTTGAGACGGAGTTTCGCTCTTGTTACCCAGGCTGGAGTGCAATGGCACCATCTCAGCTCACTGCAACCTCTGCCTCCTGGGTTCAGGCAATTTTCCTGCCTCAGCCTCCTGAGCAGCTGGGATTACAGGCACGCGCCATCATGCCCAGCTAATTTTTTTTCTTGTATCTTTAGTAGAGACGGGGTTTCACCATGTTGACCAGGATGGTCTCGATCTCTTGACCTTGTGATCCACCCGCCTCGGCCTCCCAAAGTGCTGGGATTACAGGCTTGACCCACCGCGCCTGGCCGATACTTAATGTTTAATGTAACTTTTCAAGGTGATGAAATCGATTACTCAGGTAGTAGACTAAGTTATTGTCATGTAGTATAAATAACTGCTTATTCATTTTCTATAATAACCTTTGTGATATTAAGCAGCTTCATCAATAGCTCCTTTTATACTGATCTCCACTATAAGAAATGAGACATGATTTTCTTCTGGTGAATTTATGCTAAGGTACTTACTTGAGTTCCCTGCTGAGAACTACATTAATTCTATCCTTTAAAGGTCGATTCTTCTCAGGAATGGAGAACCAGGTCTTCCTACCCATAATCACCAAATTCTGTTTATCTATAAAATCACAAAGAAAGCCTAAGTATATTTTGGGAATATACATGTATTCTCAAATGTTTATATACAACAGGTCCTGAATAACATCATTTTCGTCTAATGTTGATGAGAAAAATAATCAATTCCTGGCCAGGGCCACACTGTCTGTGTGGAGTTTGCATGCTTTTCCCATGTCTGCCTGGGTTTTCTCTAGGTACTTGTTTCCTACCACATCCCAAAGATGTGCACATTATTAATCTTTCTTAAACATATGTAAAGCTCTTATTTATTTCAGTGTTTAATATTAGAAGTGTTTTCAGCCTTCATTTAGAAGTTTGATGATTTTTTTGTGACCAGCAATATGCCCTAGGAATTTAACTCTTGTGCATATCAAGTAGCCTACGGTAAAACTGGTTTTGCAATACATTGTTTCACTTATAGTCAGTTTTCAAGAACTCACAGATGACTTTAAATGAGGACTTGGTTTAGGTATGTGCATGGACATGACTGACATCCTGCCATCTAATGGATCTCCTTTAAAAAAACTGAAACTTAAAAAAGACCAAAATTCATACTTATCACTCATATCCTAAATATAACTATTTTTCCCTTTGGAATTATCCAATTATATCCAATATTTAGTTTTAATCAATTGCAATTGTGTATAACATAGTAAAGATTCTAGGTCAAAGTGCTCAAGTTGAATGCATTTTCTCATCCACAAGACAAACTGTGTTAACCCTTTGTGGTTTACTTAATAAAATAGAGATAACAGTAGTTCCTGCTTCTAGGGTTGTTGTGGGAATTAAAAACTTAGAATAATATTCAGCCTCTAATCAGTACTGCCACAACTGTTTGATATAATTGTATTACTCATATTTGTGTACCTTGTAGATTTACATTAAATCATACTTTTAAAAATAGCTGCTTAATGTTTCACTCAATTACCTTAAAGCATGTTTAATGATGTCTCTATCCTACTCTTTTAGGTACACACTTCTATACGAACCTTTTACATATAGCTTCCACTTTTGGTTCAGTTTCTTAGAAGAATAACTTTGAGAGTCAGCTATCTGAACCAAAGAAACATTAAGATTACCAGACCATATTGGGATTTTCGAGTGGCTTTTATTAATTCTTTTTTTTTTTGAGACGGGGTTTCGCTCTTGCTACCCAGGCTGGAGTGCAATGGCGTGATCTCGGCTCACCGCAACCTCCGCCTCCTGGGTTCAGGCAATTCTCCTGCCTCAGCCTCTTGAGTAGCTGGGATTACAGACATGTGCCACCGTGCCCAGCTAATTTTTTGTATTTTTAGTAGAGACAGGGTTTCACCATGTTGACCAGGATGGTCTCAATCTCTTGACCTCGTGATCCACCCGCCTCTGCCTCCCAAAGTGCTGGGATTACAGGCTTGAGCCACCGCGCCCGGCCAGCTTTTATTAATTTTTTAGCTATAGGCTCTTGTCATCATCTCTACCAGTGATCTAAGTGTCAAACCCAAATGCCTTGTATCTCTCCCATTAAAGAGATACAGCATCTGCTCCTTCCTTACTCTTTGTTTCCCCTGCCCATGCCTCCTCTTACGACCATAAATATCCACGTCTCTTAGGTTTTAAACGGGAATCTCTTAACCCCCACATTCTTTTCCTTGGTTATCCCCTTCTCTCCAATGGTTCAATTCACCTAAACCCTGTGCCTGAAATTAACCCAGATGTCCTAGAGGTTCCTCATCACTACAGTGGCACATTATTCTCCACTCCTTTACATGTCATGCCAGCTTTCAAACTGATAATCTGAGCGTTCATCCTTGATTCATCATCTTTAGATTTCAGATCTCCAAAAGCCAGGGTCATGTAACCTCAAAAAAGTTTTTACCCTCTCTTTTGCCCTCGTTCAGGCCTTATCATCTATTCGAGAAGCTGTTCCAAAGGCTTCCTCTGCTTTTTTTTTTTTTTTGAGTGCTGACCTCCAAGGAAGCCTCCACCAAGCTGCCAATTCTGTCCCTTGCCTGAATTTGCTCCTGCGTTAACATTAAATTTCTAAGACAAAAAATTTTTAATAATGATAAATAAACCTTGGGAACTGCATAGAGATCCATGAGAGAAAAGGTCCCAGATTAACACGGACAATTTTCCATTTAACTAACTTTTGCATTGGTAAACTTAAGACAGACCCTACTGAATCCCACATTACCTTCTACTGAAGAGGTCGTGGTCATTCTCTGGAAATACCTGAATTCATTCCTACAAGTTAGAGAACACAGCGTTACTCAAAACATTATCCCTTGGGCTCGAGCTCTAACGCACCTGACAAACCGAGCGCTGGGGGCAGGGATAAGGTGTTTATTCCAGGGCTGGGACTTTGCTCTGGACAAGGGCGCCGCAGGGCAAAGACCTCACCAGGCAGCGGGATTCGGGTAGAAATCAGCAACTTGGACTCCCGCTCAGCAGAAAAGAGGAATCCAGCCGGATCCACCCCTCCAGTCAGCGCAGACCGCAAGTTTGACCCCATCCTCCCGCCGCAAGTAGGCCAGACGAGTCCCACCCAGGTACCCCGACCCCAGACTTGACGCCAGTCTGGGTCCCCTCACCCCGGCCCGGCAGATACCTGAGCGGCGGCCAGGGCAGTTCACCGTTCTTGCCGATGCCCATGTTCTGGGACACAGCGACGATGCAGTTTAGCAATTGAACCATGACAGCAGCAGTGAGCACTGACCCCGCTAGCTACACCACCACGCGCGGCCAACTTTGGCGCGGAATCATCCGCCCGCCTTTTCGTCCTTATTTGTGCAGACGAGGCCCCGCCTCCCGCCCCGGCGCACGGCAGGGTCGCGACGCGCTCGCGCCCGCAGACGCCTGGGAACTGAGGCCGCGGGCTCGCGCTCCCGGCCGTGCCCTGCCTCCGGGGCTGCCATCCCTGCCCTGCCATGTCTCGCCGGAAGCCTGCGTCGGGCGGCCTCGCTGCCTCCAGCTCAGCCCCTGCAAGGCAAGCGGTTTTGAGCCGATTTTTCCAGTCTACGGGAAGTCTGAAATCCACCGCCTCCTCCGCGGGTGCAACCGACCAGGTGGACCCCGACGCCGCAGCGCCCCCAGCGTCCACTTTCCCGCCCCAGCTGCCGCCGCACGTGGTGGGTGCTGTCCGGAACTGGGCCGGGCCGTCAGGTTGAGGGGGCGGGGCTTGTGGGTGAGGCGCGGAGGTGGGGACCCTCTGCCAGATGATAGGGCTGGAGGAGGAAGGGGCGGGCCGAAGAAGGGGAAGGTGGGAAGGGCCCAGCCGGGGCTGTGTTCTAGGTGTAACGCTGAAATTTTAGTACTTCCATTTGAGCTGTTACGGTCACGCAGATTTTTAATGGCAGGCCTGAGACAGGAACTAAGGTCTTCTGACGAGGGGGCTTGTGAGCAAGGGGTGCGTCTTTTAACCTCCATTTGCTTTTCCTTGGTGGTTGAAGGGTTTTACTGATTTAAAAAGTGCTGGATTGGCTGACTAGAAGGAAGCTGCTGGTAGGTCTCCAGTTTTTAAGGCTGCAACAGCATTGCCCAATATTTCAAATCATTAGGTTAGAAGCAATCATATTGTGCAGTTCCCCAGTGACTGCACTTTTTGTAGATTAGATTATAAAGTCTGAAATACAATTTGGGTGGATAAAATTTCTTAGGATGGTTATAGATGTGATTAATCATGGGATCCTTCCTGTTGCCATCCTTCAACGCAATACGTACCTTTGTTTTTAAACCAGAGATACTGCCACGGGAAAAGCCCCTCAAACTGAGGCTGTGGAAGGGCATTGAAGACTGGTTTTTAGCCACCTACTGTGTTTTAATGTAGGTGACTGCTTGGGTGCTTCAAAATCTTGTTCCCTTCTTGTATATTTCTCCCTTAAAGTGATTACTCCTCTTGTTTTTTTTTTTTTTTTTTTCAGGATTTGGCATGTTTTATTAGAGCAAATTTTTAACAAAAGGTGGCTTTTATTTACAGAACTTAATGTGTGTGGGGACTGTCCAAACCACGTGGACTCAAGTTAGGATGACCATTAAGCCTGTTAATGTATTTTCTTATTTTCAGTTTACATACAAAATTTTTTTTTTGCTTCACATTCATAAAAACCCCAGTATTGTAAATGACAAATAAACCCTTCATCCCTTAATTAAATATACAAACAGCTTGAAAAACATGGAATTTAAATTGGTTTAATCTTGAAGTGTAATCCAATGAGACTGAAAACTAAACATTTCAAGTCTTGTACCAAATAGTAAAATACTCGAAGGCCTTCAGGATCCTTCGACTGGTTCACATCAATAAGAGAACCTATTTTTCATGTGGTAAAAGATATGTGCTTATCTCCAATGACAATTTCAAGCTCCTGACGGCCAACCCTGTCAGGGGGAGGCCACAAAGCATCATCTTCTTTTGTAATTTCACTGACATCAATAATTCTCTTCAGTTCTTCCATTACACTCTTGTGTACATAAGCCTCTTTTCTGATCATTACGTCATTTTTGTAATTGCTGTTGGCATATCTAAGCTTTCCATCCGGCCGAAATTCGAACTCCAGAAACTTGTGCCCAAACTTGCCCTTGTGCCCTACGTAGTAGCGCAGGTAGAAATCGCTAGCCATAGACATTTTTGTCCCTGGTAAGCCCGCCGAAAACAGACCCAAGGTATCGCCCGGCGCCTGGCAGTGACGTCATCCTCTTTTTTTTTTTTTTTTTTTAAATTTTAAGGATGACCTGCATTTTCATGAATTCACCAAAATTTTGCATCCACCATTTAGAGGGTAGTTGGTGAAGGATTTACGGATGCTTTCAAAAAAAGTTCATAATCTTGTCACATCTTTAGTGATGAACATAAACCATTTAAACAGGAAACATTTAAATTGGAATGAACATGTCAATAATGATACTGTTCTTTTATTACCTATCTTTTCCCCTCTAATTGTGCCTTTGCTACATAGTTGTTTATTTCTTAGAAGTATTTTATTTAACATATGTAAGTAGGGTGATTCAAGTTTTATAATTAGAGAAAGCTGAGGGCTGATTATTGAGTCAAGACAGGTAACCAGCCTTGGTTTCAATTAATTCTACCAGGGCTTGAGTTGCTGAGGCTCCTGACTTCAGTCATCAGAGTCTACCTTGTCTTTGATGGTGTTCAAAACGGTTCACCCATAGGTTTTTTCCCATAAGCTAAAAGTAGGGGATTCTATGAAGAGTGGATGGCAAGGAGTTTGTCATTCAGATGTAAGGTTTAAATTTTCACATAAATCAAGCCTTCTCAGAATAGAGATAACGCATCATTTTCTACTCTTCCTGATATAGACTACAGAAATTGACAGAAGCAGGAAGAGACCATTGGAAAATGATGGGCCTGTTAAAAAGAAAGTAAAGAAAGTCCAAGAAAAAGAAGGAGGAAGTGATCTGGGAATATCTGGCAACTCTGGTGAGTTGTGGCGGATTCTTTGTTCTCTTCAGTCATGGCTCTGGTATTCTTCAATTCTCCAGAGGGCAGAAGAGCCTATTGGAGTTGTGTCTTTTTTCTTTGTGGAGAAAGGTCCCTTTTGTGCCTGAGCAGAGTGGCCAGCTACAGGTGATGGTTATGTGTATAGGAGATTAAGGGGATGGTAGAGCTAGAATTCTGCAATTTAGTTCTAGTTCTCCCAACTTTTTCTTTTATTTCTTCTAGCTGTTTCTGTCCTTGTTATACAACATTCTTGCTACAGAAATTTCAAACAGTACAGAAATTTGGAAGGTAGGCAGTAATAGACCCCATAATTGCTCCGTTTCAGTAAGGCCCACTGCTAATTGGTGTTCTGTATATACTTCCAGATTTTAAAATTTATACATGTGTATGTATGCATACTCATAAGCCCACAAAGCAGTTTAAATAATTGTATTTTACAGATTATATTCTATTCTATATAATTTACTACTATCTTTTTCCACTTAATAGAACATTTTGAACAATTTTCAATATCAGGACATGTAGATCTACTCTCCCCCTCCTTTTTTTTTTTTTTTTTTTTTTTTTTTTGCTTAGAGCTGCTCTTTGTGTAGGTAATAGGCATTGAATAAAAACAGCATGCCTAGGCTGGGTGCTGTGGCTCATGCCTGCAATCTCAGCAGTTTGAGAGGCCAAGGCAGGTGGATCACCTGAGATCAGGAGTTCAAGACCAGTCTGACCAACATGGTGAAATCCTGTCTCTACAAAAATTAGCTGGGCGTGTTGGTGGTTGCCTATAATCCCAGCTACTTGGGACGCTGAGGAGAATCACTTGAGCCTGGGAGGCAGAGGTTGCAGTAAGCCTAGATTGTGCCACTGCATTCTAGCCTGAGCAACAGCATGAGATTCTGTGTCAAAAAACAAAACAAAACAAAAAACAAACAAACAAAAAGCATGCCTGAATTCCTGAGTTCTTGGATTTCTAGAGGTGGTGTTGCATATAGACAGTTGAGCAGAGTTTTCTCTGGTTTTTCATATCAGAGAATTTGTGATAACGGAAGACAGGAAATCTATATTTATTCATTCTTCCCAATGAAATTGGGTAAAGAGAATGAGAAAGAAGGAAAAAAAAGTCCCAGTTCAGTAGAGGTATCTGTCCAGTGGAGATATATGTAAAATATTAATCCTTCCATAAAAGGTAACATTTGGATTCATGGTCAACATGAAAGCTTTAGTATGAAGTAACTACAAGAATGGAGACGTATGGCTAAGGAAGAAAGTAAATTTAAAAAACTTTTCCTTTCTGGAGAAGGCATGCAAGGAGGCATGACTTGAGAGAATTTGCCATGTGTTAATGTTACATTTCTAGGGCTGCCTAGAAATTTCTTTCACTTCATTACATTTCTATTGCTTCATTACTTTGCAGAGACCCATTTTTGAGGTCTACAAACACTGAATGAATACCTATGATTTTTTAAAAGCCTGCTATTATTCTAGAGACTTTTTGTAGCTCATTCCTTCTTCCTAAGAATGCATGTTGTCCTCTTTTTCTTTTTTTGAGACAGGGTCTTGCTCTTGCCCAGGCTGAAGTAAACTGGCGCAGTCTTGCCTTACTGTGAACTCCACCTCCAGGGTTCAAGTGATTCTCCTGCCTCAGCCTCCTGAGTAGCTGGGATTACAGCTGTGTGCCACCACACCTGGCTAATTTTTATATTTTGGTAGAGACAGGATTTTGCCATGTTGGGTGGGCTGGTCTCAAACTCCTGGCCTCAAGTGATCCACCCTCTTTGGCCTCCCAAAGTGCTTGGATTACATACAGGAGACACCGTGCTCGGCCTGTTGTCCGTTTTTATAGAGGAATAAGTAGGTGATAGACAAAGAGAATTGAAGATTTTCACAGTTAAGTAACTTAACCAAGACCACATAGGACAGCTGAGATAGAATGGTGTTGAAATAAGACAACACACTTGGCATATTTTAAAATAGGACCTTTGCCACTTGTTAAATATGCCACTAACGAAGAAGGGAGAGGATCATCCACTAGTCAGAAGCTGGGTGACTGTTCCACCTCAGTTTATTTTATTTTTTAGAGACAGGTGTTCCTCTGTCATCCAGGCTGGAACTTAGTGGTAGGATCATAGCTTATGTAGCCCCAAACTCCTGGGCTCAAGCCATCCTTCTGCCTCAGCTTCCTAAGTAGCAAGGACCACAAGTGCATGCCACTATGACTGGCTAATTTAAAAAAATGTATATATATATTTTAGAGACAAGATCTTGCTCTGTTGACCAGGCTGGTCTCAAATTCTGGTCCCGAGCCATCCTCCTGCCTCAGTCCCTCAGTAGCTGGAACTTCATGCCTGAGCTGTTATACCTGGCAAGTTTTTTTTTTTTTTTTTTTTTAATAATAACAGAATTATTAAGACATAGTTCTTGGTCCCTGGCATGATGGCTCATTCCTGTAATCTCAGCACTTTGAGAGGCTGAGGCAGGCGGATCACCTGAGATCAGGAGTTTGAGACCATCCTGGCCAGCATGGTGAAACCCTGTCTCTATAAAAATACAAAAAATTTGCTGGGCATGGTGTCTGGTACCTGTAATCCCAGCTACTTGGAGGCTGAGGCAGGAGAATCGCTTGAGCCCGGGAGGTGGAGCTTGCAGTGAGCCGAGATTATGCCACTGAACTCCAGGCTTGATGACAGAGTGAGACTCTTAAAAAAAAAAAAAAAAAAAAAGATAGAGTTCTCATACAAGTCAGACAATACAGTTCTCAACCAATATGTCGGTTGTGCAACCATCGTCAAAGTCAATTTTAGAACATTTTCATCACTCCAAAAGAAACCCTATGCCCATTAACAGCCACCGCCTATTCTCCCCCAGCTCTCCCAGCCCTAGGTAACCACTAATCTACTTTCTGTGTAGATTTACTTATTCTGAACATTTCACATAAATGGAATCATATAATATGTGGCCTTTGGTGTCTGGTTTCTTTCACTTACTCTAAGTTTTCAAGGTTCATCCATGTTGTAACATGTATCAGTACTTCATTCCCTTTTCTAAAAAAAATTCTTTATTTTGGTTAAATATACATAATATAAAGTGTATCATTCTAGACATTTTTTAAGTATATAGCTCAGGGCTATTTAGTACATTTATACTGTTATGCAACCATCACCACTATCCATCTCCAGAACTCTTTTAATCTTGCAGTCCTGTCACTCTACCATGAAACACTAACTCCCTGTAACTCCCTTCCCCCAACCCCTGGTGCCTACTGTTCAGCTTTCTGTCTCTGTCATTTTGCCTACTCTATAATGCGTTCATTCCTTTTTATTTCTGGGTGGTGTTCCATTTTATATATCCACCTCAGTTTTAACTCTGTGATTAACAAGTTCTTTTTTATACCTGGGATCCACAGGTAAAGGAAACTTTTATACACAAGCAAACTTAGATACATTTGAAAAGCCAGCTAAATACATATTTTGAAAACCAAGGGATTAATGATAAACAAAGTAGAATATGCATTGTGTATTAGTCCATTTCACGCTGCTGTTAAAGACATACCAGAGACTGGAAAGAAGAAAAGGTTTAACTGGACTTATCGTTTCACATGTCTGGGGAGGCCTCACAACATAGCAGGAGGCAAAAGGCACTTCTTTGTTTTTTGTTTTTTTCAGTTTTACTTTATGTTCTGGGATACATTTGCAGAACCTGCAAGTTTGTTGAAAGGTACTTCTTACATGTGGCAGTGGCAAGAGAAAATGAGAAAGAAGCAAAAGTGGAAACCCCTGATAAACCCATCAGATCTCCTGAGACTTTTTCACTATCATGGGAATAGCACAGGAAAGACTGGCCCCCATGATTCAGTTACCTACCATTGTGTTCCTCCCACAATACATGGGAATTCTGGGAGAGAAAATTCAAGTTGAGATTTGGGTCAGGGCACAGTTAAACCATATCACATTGGAAAAGATTCAAAAATATCTTGTTAGCACAAAGGAAGTCATAGTAAACAAGGTAACTATATATTAGAAAAGTCCTATTTAGAAGAGTCGTTGTATTTTTTTCAGAGATTCTTAACCTTTAGCATATATGACATCAAGGTTTTTTGTTTTTAATTATAGAGGGTTAGTTACCCTAATATGTCTTTTTCTCTGGTTGCTTTTAAGATTTTTCTCTTAATCACTGGTTTTCATGTTTGATTTTTTTTTTTTTTTGACCCATATAATCTGCAGGAACACATATTTGATTTTGATGGACCTTTTCTGTTTTTTTTTTTTTTTTTTGATATGGAGTCTTGCTCTGTCACCCAGGCTGGAGTGCAGTGGCGCTGTCTCAGCTTACTCCAACCTCTGCCCCACTAGGTTTAAGCAGTTCTTCTGCCTTCACCTCCAGAGTAGCTGGGATTACAGGTACTCACCACTATGCCTGGGTAATTTTTGTATTTTTAGTGGAGACGGGGTTTTACCATGTTGACCAGGCTGGTCTTGAACTCCTGACCTCATGAGCCACCTGCCTCAGCCTCCCAAACTGCTGGGATTACAGGCGTGAGCCACCACACCTGTCCATCTTTGTCTGGTTTTTACTTTTTATTCATTTCTTCATTTATTTTTATCCTGTTTAGAGCTCATTTAAAGCTTCTTGAGTCTGTGGGTCTATAGGTCTTATTAAATGTGGGAAACTTTTTTGCTTGTTACTGTCTCACATTTTTTCTGTCTTTCCCTCGTGTCTCTCTCTGACAGTTTATTACAGGGATGTTAATTACTTGATGTTATCGCTTAAGTCATTGAGGGCCTTTTTATTTGTTTTCCGGGCTTATTTCTCTTGGTACTTCATTGTGGATAGATTCTACTGCTCTGTTTTCAAGTTCAGTCTTTTCTTCTGCTATGTCTAATCTGCTGTAAATCTCATTCAATAAAATGGTTATTTCCCATATTGCATATTTCATCTCTAGCAGTTCTATTTTGTTCTTTTAAAATATCTTCCAGTTCTCTGTATGAATTATATCTCAGTAAGGTTCTTAAAAAGAGATCCTTTGCTCCTCGTTTTGCTCATGTTTTCCTTTACATTCTCGATTAAGTGGAGCATATTTATAAATTGTATTTTCTTGTTCTTATATGCTAATTGATTGCACCATCTCTGATTTCTGGGTCTGCATCCCTGGACAGATTTTTCCTACTTTTGCATGTCTAGTAACTAATTAGTTGGATCATGGATATGTTGAATTCTGTGTTGCCTCCTGCTGGAGTTTGCATTTCTTTGGAGTATTGGACTCTGTTCTGGCAAGCAGTTAAATTCCTTTGAATCACCTTTATCTTTTTAAGAATTGTTTTTAAACTTCAGTAGAGAAGGTCTATTGTGCTCTTACTCTAGGGCTACTTTAGTCACATGTCTAAGGCATGACTGTTTTAGAGTTGGAAATGCATAGTGGCAGTAGCAAACCATTATATTGTATTTCCATGATACAGAGACAGTAGACATCAGTAACATGAAGAATATAAAACAGTCATATGCTGCCTAACGACAGTCAGTGAGGGACCGCCTCTACAACATGAATGTTGTAAGATTATACTAGGTATTTTTACTGTACTAGTTCTATGTTTAAATATGTTTAGATACACAGATACTTGCCATTGTGTTAAGTTGTCTCTAGTATTCAGTACAGTAACGTGCTGTCCAGGTTTATAGCCTGGGAGCAATAAACTATACCACACAGCCTAGGTGTGTAGGAGGATGTACCATCTAGGTTTGTGTAAGCATACTCTCTGATGTGCACACGATGATGAAATCAACTAATGACGCATTCATTATAACATGTGCCCATCATTAAATGATGCAAGACTGTAGTTTTAGGAAGTGACTAAGTATTTATTATTCAACCAGTAGCATCTGCCAGCCATAAGAGTCCCTGATTATTTCATCTCTGTTTTAACACTTTTGTTTTAAATACTGTCAAATAAAATATAGAGAGAAATCTCTGAATTTCAAATATTTGATTAGGGGCCAGGCACGGTGGCTCATGCCTTTCATCCCAGCACTTTGGGAGGCCGAGGCGGGCTGATCACTTGAGTTCAGGAGTTTTAGACCAGCCTGGCCAACATGGTGAAACCCCACCTCTACTAAAAATATAAAAATTAGCCAAGTGTGGTGGCACATGCCTGTAATCCCAGCTACTCAGGAGGCTGAGGCAGGTGAATCACTGGAACCCACAAGATGGAAGTTGCGTTGAGCTGAGATTGTGCTATTGCATTCTAGGCTGGGCGACAGTGAGATTCTGTCTCAAAAAAAAAAAACAAAAAAAAATTTTATTTGGGATGTAGGAGTTGCAGTTTGGGACATACACACATACCAGGTGATCTTTGGTATGTTTGAAGGACAAAGAAAAAATTGGAGGTTTTATTAAAAAGGAGAAATGAGCCAGGATCAGTGGCTCATGCCTGTACTCCCAACGTTTTGGGAGGCCAAAGCAGGAGGATTGTTTGAGCTCAGGATTTGGAAACCAGCGTGGCCAACATAGGGAGACCCCATCTATATAAAAAATTTTAAAATTAGTTGGGCATGGTGGCACTTGCCTGTAGTCCTAGCTACTAAGGAAGATGAGGTGGGAGGATCTTTTGAGCCTGGTACATCAAGATTGCAGTGAACCTTGATGGCATGCACTCCAGCTTGGGTGACAAAGTGAGACTCTGTCTCAAAAAAAGAAGAAAGAAAAAGAAAATGTATTGTTTTGAAAGAAGGTTCATTGGTACTAGGAAAATTTGGAGGAACTGGCAAACTGATTGGTGAATGACCGCAAGAGGTGAAACTAATCTTAGAGTCACAGCACGTTATTTTAAGAGCTGTCAGGTAAAATTGGTTTCAGGTTACAATAGGCAGTTTTAGCAGATAGGCTTGCAGAGAATTACATTTTGGAGCAATGATATATGCTCTCAATGCTTTTTCCCCGGCCTCTCTACTCTGTTTTAATTGAGTATGACAAGAATGACCCAATTCATATGATCAACTTTCACAATATTTTTTTTTCCTGACAAATACAACTCCAAGATCTTCACCCCACCTCTATTCCAGGCAAAGTTTTTTTTATTTTTTATTTTTTTATTTTATGTCTGTAGGAGGGAAGTCTTTGTATAAGATACACACTTATCGTATACATTTGAAGAGTGATAAAAATATACATTTCGAAAAAGAGAATAATAGTAAATAAGGTGAATATACATTTGAGAAAAGAGTCAAATTTACATTTTTGTAGCTAGAAAATTTACAGGAGACATAATAAAAGCCTGTGAAGAGGTTTAAATATAAATAGGGAAAAATTTGAGCTTTTAGAAATGAACAAAACACAACTCTGGCCCTCAAGAGTGTTTTGCTTTAGTAGGGAAGGAGAGAGGTGATGGATGCGGGCAGTCCCAGTTCCTTTGTATTTAGTAGCACCAACCTAATAGTATTGCTCTAAATGGTGAAGTAATATGTTCTAGTACATGGTAGGGATCCAGAAAAGGATAGTTTTCCTTCTTTTATGGATTGTTTGCTTATGAAAAACTGCCAATCGGCAGACTGTAATGAGTGCCACAGGGAGATGTGATCTTGTTATAGGAACACAGAGAAAGAAAAGATGATTTTAAGCTGGGAAAATTAGCAGGTTTCATGGAAAAGGTAGATTTGAGTTGGGTCTTGAAGAATGAATACAATTTTCATATGCAGAAAGCATATCATGGGCAAAGTGATGATGCGTCTGAGTATGGTGATTTGGTTTTCTCGGTAAACCCCTGATGTGGATGTCAAGTCTTTCTCTTTGAGCTAGTTAGATTTTCCAGTCAATAGTCTTCCCAGCTTCTGCCTAGAGAGAAGTGCTCTGGCTGTCTGGGTTCTGGAGAGACCGTGCTGTGGATCTCGGCATACAACGTGCCTATGTTTCTATCATCCTTCTGGGTTAGGTACAGTACTCCATCAACTGGGATTGTTTTGCCTTTCCAGGGAAGAAATCTCCAGTTGGCTGCTGAGGTGGACAGTTGTCTTTGAGCTTGGAGTGTGGCAGGGGTTTAGGGAACAAACTGCTTTGAACCAATCCTTTTTATTTTAGAACCTCCCTTTATTCCTTTTCCAGAGTGACTGGTACCCTAATTTCTGACTCTTTTAAGCATTTTGTGTTTAAGTGGAGTTGGTTCTTGGTTTTCCTAATTACTGACTTAGGATTTAGCTTTCAGGTGTGTTCAATTGGTTATTGTTCATTTGTTTTCCTTTCTAGCTTTAGACATCTCATTTGCAATTGTTACCTCTCTTCTTTTCTCTGTCCTTACGGGCTTATGTCTTTTAAAAAGAAAAGAAAAAGAAGAAAAAGGAAAAAACTTTACTAATGAGGTTTCAGGAATGACTGAAATTAGATCTATGTTTTATATGCCATCTTTACCTGAAACACAGTGTTTCTTTTTTTTTTTTAATCACATTATAGTTAGGTTTGTTGCTTTAGTGGGAATCAACCTCTTCAAAAAATTCTATGCTGGTTATGAATTGACATAATGAGACCAAAATACTGTTGTTCTATTTTCTTCTAATTTGCTACCTAAGAGCCAAAGAAATGTCTGAGGACGAGGAATGTTTTAAAGTCTCTGGAAAAATTGAAAGAATTCTGCTGCGATTCTGCCCCTCCTCAAAATAGAGTCCAGACAGAATCTCTGCCGGAGAGATTTGCAGTTCTGCCCAAATGTACTGATTTTGATGATATAAGTCTTCTACGTGCAAAGAATGCGGTTTCTTCTAAAGATTCGAAATGTCAAATTAATCCAAAGGTATGTAACTACTATAGATGAGTATCCTGTTACCTAGAATAGTGGGTTCTGAAGTACTGTCAGCTTCTCTGGTAAATTTGAGATGGGTCTTGAAGAATGAATACAATTTAGACATGCAGAAAGCATATCATGATCATTCATGGCAATGGTTCCTAAAGTTGGATGATGTTCTGAATCAGCTGAGGGACCTGTTGTGTTTTAGTTTAGTTTTTTACATCCCTGGAGAGTCTGATTTATTGTGTTTTGGGAGGGATTAATTGGTCTGTCTGAGAAGAAAGCAGGTACTGCCTGGATCAGGAGCCCTTGACTTGGAGGGATTCTTTACTGATGATTAATACAAGCACAGTTTCTTACAGTCCTTCTTAGAGTTTCCATGATTACCATGGAAAGTCATGATGGGCAACTTAGATGTTTTGAGGTTTTAGTTGAAAGCTTGAAAGATAGAAAGTAAATTCGAATGTAAGAACCTTTTCTCAGAATCTAATTTAATTGGTTTTCACTGAGAAATGGGCATGGATATTTTTAAAAAGCTTGCATTTTATTTTATATTTTATTTTCATAGATGGGGTCTCGCTCTGTTGCCCAGGCTAGAATGCAGTGGTGTGATTACAGTTCACTGTAGTCTCAAGCTCCTGGGCTCAAGCAGTCCTCCCACCTTAACCTCCAGAGGAGGTTGGACTAAAGGAAAAACGACCATTTTAATTTGTAGTCATGGTTGATAACCATGGAATTGGAGAAATGGTTCTACATATGTATATATGTGTGTGTATTTACATATATTTGAGTAATTGAAATTCTAATGAAAGCTGTTGGCCTTTTTCCTCAGAAAAATTCTCAAGCCAACAAAATTTTGCTCATAATTTTCAAGAGTTCACACCTTTCCCACCAAGTCCAGATCCATGACCTCCTCCCTCAGACAGGCTAATATTGGTTGACTTATCTTAGATCATCAGGAAAAAAAGGTGTTTTTGTTTTTAGTCTCCTTTAGTACTTAGAAGCAGTTCACCTGAGTATAATGGTTATTAAGCATAAAAGTCATAAAGTTTATCCATTAAAGCTCACTTTATTGTTGGGAGCATTTACACCAAGGTCTTAGAAGAGCGTATCCATTACTGCTTTATGCATAGAATGACCAACTTGGCATTTTCACATCATAGGGAATTAGAAGTTACCAGATAGAGGCGGCACCTAGAAGCAATGCTATTATTACAAGTGATAAGTTGTTTGATGGCTTGGAAAGACATGGATGAATGGCAAAGAGCTACTGAATGAACATAAATGCCCCATGGTCCAGGACCATTAGGGTGGGGCCAGCAACACCATAGCTCTTAACAGGTTTTGAAATACATTCTGATGACTCTGAATTGTCCAGACAAGGTTAAATTGAGTTCAGCATATTGTCTCTGGGAATATGAAATAGAATGTGATGTATCTGATAAGTATTTCCACCCAAATCATTTTTTAAAATGTTGCTTATTTTGTCACCCAGGTGTTAATCTGTACAACAAACCTCATGACACAAGTTTACCTATATAAGAAACCTGCACATATACCTTTGAACTTAAAATGAAAGTTAAAAAAGGTTGCTTAATATTAAAAAATTTAGATTGATTTAATTGTTAGCATTCTGTAAGGATAAAAGTATTTTTGGGAAGCTTATCTCTTTCCTAAATGAATAAAGTATAAAGTAAGAATAAGCTTTTAAAATATAAGAAATATATTTTCTGGCTGGGCGTGGTGGCTCACGCCTGTAATCCCAGCACTTGGGAGGCTGAGGCGGGCAGATCATGAGGTCGGGAGTTTAAGATCAGCCTGGCCAACATAGTGAAACCCTGTTTCTACTAAAAATACAAAAATTAGCTGAGTATGGTGGCATATCCCTGTAGTCCCAGCTACTCAGGAGGCTGAGGCACCAATGAGCTGAGATTGCACCACTGCACTCCAACCTGGGGGACAAAAAAAAAAAATTACATTAACAAAAGAGTAAACCCATTAACATTAAAAGCAAATGCATTCTCAGGTCTAGGGTAATTGTTATGTGATCCTTGGCGTGGCACTTAGCCAGCTGTAAACCTCTGTGACTAGTGGGGCCTTTGCCTGAGTTTTTACTTGGGCCAGGTGGGCTTGTTCTGCCTATTCGGCCTGGCAGGCTGTGCTCGTCTTGTGTTTTTGGCCTGAATCTTATGTCTGCCAAGGGTGAGCCAGGAGCAGAGTGGCGAGGGTTGTGTGAGCGAGTGAGCACAGGGTCTGGCCACTGTGCACAGCCAGGCATGCCAGCTTTATTGGGGCAGGCAGCTCCAGGTGCTGGGATGGATAGGGGCTGAACCAAGGAGTACCCCAAGTAGCTTCCACGGCTGGCACCAGGGAATGTAGTGGCACCTAGAAGCTTGGAGATGCCAGGAACTGCACAGCCCCAGAGAGGGTGTCATAGACCTGGCTCAGGGATCTCCTAGGTCTAGGCTCACGAAGGGCCACAGCTCTTTTCTTCTTCTTGCCGCAATATGGCAAGCAAGGGATGTGTTTCAAGCCTGTTTTTGTTACAGCTTTTTTAGCCCTGCCATTCGGTGGGTCCCAAGTTCTTGTCCTGTGTCCAGGAAGAATGAAGTATGTGAACAAGTGGAGGGTGAGCAAGGCATAAAGGAGCTTTCTTGAGTGACAGAACGTCTCAGGGGAGACCTTCAGTGGGTAGCTCCTTTCTGCAGGCAGGGCATCCTGACAAGTGTTCAGCCTTCCACAGAGAGGAGACCCTGGAGCAGGTAGCTTCTCTCTGCAGGCAGGTTGTCTGCTTGTCTCTTCAAGGTTGGCTAAGTCTGGGGGTTGTATGGGCTTGAGAGGAGGAAGTGTGTGCTGCTTGGTTCATGGGCTGCCATGGGCGAGCCCATAAAAAGCACCCTAAGTTCTAATTCTCATTCTTCAGCCTGGCTCCCAGGCTTCAGGCTGTTCCTGGCTTGAACGGGGCTTCACCCTGACCTGCCCCTTTCTGCCCGGGACTCCGTCTGCCTCCTGCTGTAATCCATGGCACCCAGGCTGTTTGTGCCGAGGGGCACCTGCAGGACAGCTCTGAGTTGCCTTCAGCTGTCCTCAGCCCCCTCTTCAGCTTCCTTCCTGTACTCATCAGTGCCCGAAGTCCAGAGTGGGCCGAGGCAGCAGGGGGCTTACATATTAGCACTGCCTTAAACATGTGCACACCTTGCCAGGTTGCAACAATCCTGGGCTTGCCCTCAACTTTGCTCTGAGGGCAGAGTGGATTCTGGAAACTGGGAGAGGCCAGGCAGTGGGAGCAGGTACTTCTGAGCCTGCAGAGGGAAGGGAAGTTCCCTGCCTGGGTCCCTGAGAGTGCAGAGATGCCCAGGTCCACAGCCACAGCTTGGGCAGCTGCAACTGTACCAAGAGGGTGGGGCTCCTGCCTGCTGCTAGCCCCCAAGAGCCCAGAGATGTCCAGGTTTGCAGTCATGGCTAGCCAGCCACAGCTGTGCCTGGGGAGTACAAGGTTCTCACCCTGCCATAGCAGAAGGGGGTGAGGCTTCCACCCATTCCTGGCTCCTGCTGGCTCTGTGGAACACGCAGCCCTGGCTGCGCCTCTCCCACTGCAGCTGACGTTATGGTAGCGGCTGCTCCAGATGTGCTGCCCCCACCATCATAATGACCTGCATTTCTCTTGCCAACCTCGCCAAACCTTACTGTCTTCTTATTTTTGATCTTTGGAGGTTTGCTGGACTGCACTATTCAAATAAATTGAGTTTTTTGTTGAAAAGTTAATATCTTTACTTGATGTCCTGGTGAAGCTGAATTGTTTTAAACATTTGGCAACTACAAAGTTTACATGTTTCTGAGTTTTCTTTTGGATTGGGGTTCCCATTCCTAGGCCATTTTTCTTCTCTTTTACTCCCCCGTCTTCTTTTTGGTCACAGGACTTTTAGGCCATATTTTTGATTGTAAGGGGAGCTGGGTAAATTTTTAAAAGTTGGCAGTGACAGAGTGGCAATTAATTAGAAGTTGGATTTATCCTATAAATTTGTCTCATTTCCATTTTTCTAACTTAAGTCTAATAAGCAAGTAATTTTCCCTAAGCTTCTTCACAGCTTATGGAATTAATTATGGTTCATCACAGGAAGGTAAGAATAGTAGGAGTACCAATGTGGAAAATGTGGCCTTGTGCTGTATGTTTAACAGCTCTTTCTCATGTTTGTTTACCAAAAGAATCATGGTTCTTTCTTGGAATAAGAATTCATAGAATGTGCTGTCTTTTACAGTGTGCTTGGAAGTATAAAACATTAAGTGCAGCTTTATCTGTTGGCATGCTTTGCTCAGAGTTGTTTTGCCCTACTGCTGAGAGAGAGCCAGATTTGCCCCCATTGGCTTTTTGTGCGTTATACACCTGAGAATAAATAATAGAAAAGAAATGTTAATAGAGTTAATGAAATCAAATTTTAAAAAATGCATATAAAACATTAAGCTATTTAGACTTTCAAAATTTGCATAAAAATTATATGAGAACTTAGTGGGTTCATAATTTTTTTAACCTTTTACTTTGAAAATATTTGTAACCTATGGATAATTTGCCTGAATGCTACAACGTGCTTCTATAAACTTTTCACCTAGATTCACAAAGTGTTAGCTTTTTGCCAGATTTGCATTTTCCATCTCTGGAAACTTATTATTATGGTTAATATTTTAAAATTTTATAAATCTTTTGGTTGCCAGGACACAACACTTTTTGATATCAGTCATTTTGGATCATCAAATAGAAGTGATGAAAATTTACAGAAAACTGATTCTAAACCAGCTAACAAACGGTCCAAAAGCATCTATACACCACTAGAATTACAATACATAGAAATGAAGCAGCAGCACAAAGATGCAGTTTTGTGTGTGGAATGTGGATATAAGTATAGATTCTTTGGGGAAGATGCAGAGGTGAGTCGTTTTTTTCAGGCACTATTTTGTTTTTCTTGTCTAGCCTTAGATATTTTTCAGTATTTTCGTTTTGTTTTCCAACTTTATGTAAAAGCTGATTTCATTAATCACCTTTAAAAAAATACTGTTACTTAAAGTAAAAACTAAAAGTGAACACAAGAAACCTGGTGGGAACCAGCCTTGGTGGGGGAAAAGTGAGGAGTCTCTATTGGAATGCTAGCACTTATTCTCCATGATACTAAAGTTTATTGGATGAGTCAATTAGTGAATGAACCATAATCATGTAAATATGTTTTTTAATGAAGACTCAAGCAAGAAAAAATTTTTCAGATGTATAGAAGTTCCTCTGTTGACCCTTAATTTAGGAGTTTTTATAGCCAGAAATGAAGTTAGTTCTCAGTGGAAGAACACATGAACTTTGCCAACTACCACCAGAAGTTGTTTGAAGTTTTACAGATCTCTTTGTGTATCCATCATCTTGGTGTCTCAGTCTAAATTGGGATTGTGCCAGGTGTGGTGGCTCACACTTGTAATCCCAGCACTTTGGGAGGGTGACATGGATGGATTACTTGACGTCAGGAGTTTGAGGCCAGCCTGGCCAACATGGTGAAACCCTGTCTCTACTAAAAATATAAAAAATATTAACCGGGTGTGGTGGTGCATGCCTTCAGTCCCAGCTCCTCAGGAGGCTGAGGCAGGAGAATCACTTGAACTGGGGAGCTGGAGGTTGCAGTAAGCCGAAATTCCACCACTGCACTCCAGCCTGGGTGGCACAGCAAGGCTTTGTCTCGGGAAAAAAAAAAAATTGGGATTGTAGTTACTGTTTAAGTATTTGTTATAGGCCCCAGTCAAGAAGGTTGAACATGAAATTTGAGCATTTCATGGGCAAGCTTAGGGAAAGTACTGCTGATGACACCTTTGTTGGAAGTCATGAATGCATGTGATGATTCCATAGTTTGAGACTGGTTGGATTTTACACCAGAGAGTGATGGAGTAGCATGTCTGTGCCCTGTGGATGGGAAGTAAAGACTTGGCCAACATTTTTCTTCAAGTTTCCTAAATCCTTTGTGGCAGGCAATTGGTGTTCTCTAAGTCAGATGCATTATGCTGTGTTCTGTGACATTAAATTAGACTCTGAAATAGTGTCACCATGTTTTCTGAAGGCAGAAACAAATATGTAGTTTGGCATCCTCTAGGTGAAGGAGAGGAGCTCTGTAGGTTAAATGGTAAATTCAGGCCTGAACACCGTAAAGGTTGATGTCTTCCTGCTCTTTTGTGAGAGACTAATACAGTTCAGAGATGGGGTGAGGTCAGGGAGTGAGATGGTTGGGATTTGAGTTCCACGACTCCAGTGGGCAGTATGTAAGCCATGGTGCTTTCTAGAAGAAGTCAGGGAATCAGATGGAGCTGCATGGTTCTCTGTTTCTATCAGGCATTCATCATTAATTAGCCAGTCTGGGGCTTCTCTTTTTACTTTTTCAACAATTTCTCTGTCCAGATGGGTTAATCATTTCTGCCTACTCTGTAGTGTCTTCTAAGTGTCAGTCATTTGCACATGCCATGTAGCATATTCTTACTCTTTTACAGTCTCATGCCTGTATTAGATAGTCTTTGTGTAGAGAAAGCTCTAAGGACATAGAAGACCTGTCATATTTTTCAGTCTTATATAGATACAGCTGTAGATACTGAAGTTAGGCCACTGGAACTGCCCAAAATACATTAAACCATAGGCTTCTATATAGGGAATGTTTTTTAAACTTTTTATTGATGTACTACACATTTAGATAAGTGTACAAATCCTAAATCTATACCTTGATGAATTTTTAACAAAGTGAACAAACCCACATAGGGAATCTTAAAATATAAATGTATTGATATTTTCTTTTTTCATTTTTTAGATTGCAGCCCGGGAGCTCAATATTTATTGCCATTTGGATCACAACTTTATGACAGCAAGTATACCTACTCACAGACTGTTTGTTCACGTGCGCCGCCTGGTGGCAAAAGGATATAAGGTCAGCTTTGGCTTTGACTTGTGGGAACAGGAAATTAGGATTCTCTTCCACAGAGTGCAAATGTGTTTTGTAAGGTGGTAGGAAGGCAATTGGTTTAGAATTTTGCATTTTAGAGAACTGAAAGTGTTTCATAATTATTAGCATTATATATTTATGAGTTTTTAACATATCATTAGATATTTAGGGTAAATTTTTAAACTCTATGATAGTGTTTCTTAGCGATTTATCCACTCTCGTCAACTCCTCTAAGCCCTACATCTGAACATTGTGGACTGATTATTTTAAATGTTTCAGAAATGACCTTTAAACATTTTGAAATGAGTTTTTACAAGTGATTTTTTTAATCATTTTATATCAATATTTCTTATTTTTGTTGAAGGTGGGCGTTGTGAAGCAAACTGAAACTGCAGCATTAAAGGCCGTTGGAGACAACAGAAGTTCACTCTTTTCTCGGAAATTGACTGCCCTTTATACAAAATCTACCCTCATTGGAGAAGATATCCTTTTTGAACAGGAAGTTTCCTCTTAAATGGTATAAGGGCTTTGTCTGAAGATGGCAGTTGTTTTTTTTTTTTTTCCCCTTTGGTTGCTCTTTGGGAACTTTTTAAATGAGCTTAGAGGCATTATGGGAAACTTTTGATTGGGTGTGCTCCTCAAGAGGGAAGGGTTGTTAGTGGCTAGAAACAAACATCGTTTCAGATGTCATAGTAAAAGGAAAGTTCATCATATTTGAAGAGCAAGAAAAAAAGGAACCCTAGTAAAAGATGATGTCAGATTAGTAACTGATTTGAAATTATACCTTCCTTAGCTTATTTGTGGGTAGTAGTCAGGTACTTAGGGCCTACAAGCTCTTCAGGGTCTTTCCAAAGAAATAGCTATTGAAGTCAGGCGTGGTGGCTCATGTCTGTAATCCCAGCCCTTTGGGAGGCTGAGAGGGGAAGATTGCTTGAGCCCAGGAGTTTGAGACCAGCCAGGGCAACATGGCAAAATCCCATCTCTACCAAAAATATAAAAAATTAGCTGGGCATGTTGGGACTTGCCTGTAGTCCCAGCTACTTGGGGGGCTGAGGTGGGACAATCATGTCAGCCTAGGAAGTCAAGGCTGAAGTGGGCTATGATCATGCCACTGCATTCCAGCTGGGGTGACAGGAGTAAGACTCAAAAAAAAAAAAAATTCAAAACGCGAGAAGAAAACCGCTGAAGTCAGAATTAAGACAGAGTTAAATGCTTATAAAATATATTGGTAGGCCATCTTCATCAATTGTTAACGTCACAAAAATTTTAATACTTTTGAAAATGGATTGTAGGTTAAGTTTTCTCATTTAGAAGAATTTTTAGTGTGCATAATGATTGCCCCTAAATTTATGGTCATTCATAAATTCATTGTGTTATTTGAAGCCAAATAATTTCAAAAGCAAAGTCATAGAAATCTGTCAGTTTCAAAAGCCAAAACATTTAAAATTAGATCAGGGTGCATTTACTATGGGGTGCAATGAGTTCTCTGATAATAAAAGAATGGAGTTATAAGAAGGCCTTAAATGATACTGTGTGGACATATTATTTCTGTTATGGTTGCTTACAGATCTACTTATTTAACGACCTGCTTAGTTTCTACCTGAATTCTAAGGACTGTTTTGTTCCATGAATACTATCAATAAGGAACAGCTGTCACTCAAAATGGACTCAAAACTATTTACAGCTCTGTGTTGTTCTAAGCTGATCAGGCTATAAGAACATGGTATTTTTGTTTTTTCTTTTGCCTAAGCTTGAGTCTCTTATTTGAAGCCCATTCCTAGTACAGTCCCCTTCCCTGCTTTTCCTTTGCTGCTTTTATGGCTCCTATGTCCTGATGTCCAAAGATGTGCCCAGACTTTGCCCCAAATCAGTTTTCATCCCTGAGATTTAGTTAATGGACTCATTTTATACATGTATGTTTCTGTTTTCTTTCTCATGTCTTTAAAAAATTTTCTTGCTATTTCTGGGAGCTTTAGGCACATTAAAAGAGGAAAATAAGGGCCGGGCGTGGTGGCTCACGCCTGTAATCCCAGCACTTTGGGAGGCCGAGGCGGGTGGATCACGAGGTCAAGAGATTGAGACCATCCTGGTCAACATGGTGAAACCCCATTTCTACTAAAAAAATACAAAAAATTAGCTAGGCATGGTGGCGCGTGCCTGTAATCCCAGCTACTCAGGAGGCAGAAGCAGGAGAATTGCCTGAACCCAGGAGGTGGAGGTTGCGCTGCACTCCGTCAAAGAAAAAAAAAAAGGAAAACTAAAAAAAAAGAGGAAAATAATTTACACTATTTTAGTGTATTTACACTTTGAATTGTTGAATTAAGCATTACGGGATTGTTAAGTATTCAAGTCTTAGCATCATCCAAGTGAAGAAGTGGGTTGATATTTGGACCTCCATAGAGTCTGATGTATTCTCCTAAGCCCTTTGGAAGTGAGAAGATACTGGTTATCTGTCTTCATGATCTTTATATTTTAGGAAAGACAAGGCATGCAACTGTAATCCAAATAAATCAGAAGAATGAATGCTGGGCAGAAGATTTTTGCAAAGAGAGTGAAAGTACTGCGTGAAATTAATCATCACTTTATTATTTATTTATTTTTATTTTTTTATTCTGTAGAGACAGGATCTTGCTATGTTGCTCAGGTTGGTCTCAAACTCCTGGCCTTAAGTGATCCTACTACCTTGGCCTTCTAAAGTACTGGATAGGTATAAGCCACTGTGCCTTGCTGTGAACCATTATTTTAAAAGGAGAAAATAGTTAATATTACTGAAAATGTAGCATATTAGCATTTAGAATTTAGCATATAAAAGTAACTATTTTTCTTTAATTATTATTAAATGTGAATCCCCTAATCAAGCTGGATGATGCTGTAAATGTTGACGCGATAATGACCGATACGTCTACCAGCTATCTTCTGTGCATCTCTGAAAATAACGAAAATGTTAGGGACAAAAAAAAGGGGAACGTTTTTATTGGCATTGTGGTAAGTACTTTGCAAGTGTTCATGGTATCTCTAAATATGAGCCATCATGTGTGGTTTATAATGAGGACATCTGATGAAGTATGCCTTCAGGTAACTGTACTAGAAAAAGACTTTTCTCACAATATTGTATGTTAAATCACTAGTTACAATTTTCTCATAGCTACTTGGTACTTGTATTAGTCTGTTGTCACATTGCTATAAAGAACTACGTGAGACTGGGTAATTTATAAAGAAAAGAGGATTAATTGGCTCATGGTTCCATAGGCTGTATGGGAAGCATGGCTTGGGAGGCCTCAGGAAACTTACAATCATGGTGGAAGGCAAAGGGGAAGTAAGGACATCTTCATAAGACAGCAGCAGAGAGAGTGAAGGGGGACGTGCTACACACTTTTAAACAACCAGATCTTGTGAGAATGAACTATCATGAGAACAACGAGGGAGAAATCTGGCCCCCTGATCTAATTAACTCCCACCAGGTCTCTCCCTCGGCACTGGGGATTACAATTCAACGTTAGATTTGGGTGGGGACACAGCCACATCATATCAATACTCTGTGCTATGGAGAGATCCAGATGGTTTTGGTCTATGTGCCCTGGGCTTTTAAGGTTGAAGGTAGACACAATGACAGACATCCATGTGAACAATGTACGGATAGCTGAATAAAACATGAAGCCACCACAAAAATGGGTGGGAAAGTGTTTTATAAATTTTCCCTAAGGGTTTGAAATTAAATATGAATGACTGGTATTATATCTGGATTTGGAGGAAGGGATAAGTTAAAAGAGAAGTGATAATTGGCAGATATTAAATACGACACTAAGTTAGTATTAGAAATATTTACAATCAGTTTTCTAGATAAATGTAATTTGTGAATCACAGTGTTATTTATTTATTTATTTGAGATGAAGTTTCACTCTTTTCACCCAGGCTGGAGTGCAATGACACTATCTCAACTCACTGCAACCTCTGCCTCCCAGGTTCAAGTGATTCTCCTGCCTCAGCCTCCTGAGTACCTGGGACTATAGGTGCCTGCCACCATACCAGCTAATTTTTTTATTTTTATTGGAGATGGGGTTTCACCATGTTGGCCAGGCTGGTGTTGAACTCCTGACCTCAGATGATCCGCCTGTCTTGGCCTCCCAAAGTACTGGGATTATAGGCATGAACCACTGTGCCCAGCCAAGTCATTGTTTTATTGATCTTCTGGCAGTTAATGAATAAATTTTCCCATTTACAATCTCACTTGGACTCTGCTGAAAGTCTTAGACTTTTTTTTTGAGACAGAGTTTTGCTCTTGTTACCCAGGCTGGAGTGCAATGGCGTGATCTCGGCTCACCGCAACCTCCGCCTCCTGGGTTCAGGCAATTCTCCTGCCTCATCCTCCCGAGTACCTGGGATTACAGGCACCTGCCACTATGCCCAGCTAATTTTTTGTATTTTTAGTAGAGATGGGGTTTCACCATGTTGACCAGGATGGTCTCGATCTCTTGACTTCGTGATCCACCCGCCTCAGCCTCCCAAAGTGCTGGGATTACAGGCGTGAGCCACCGCGCTCAGCCAAGTCTTAGACTTTTTTTTTTTCATTTTTTAAAAATTGCATTTTAGGTTTTGGGGTACATGTGCAGAACGTGCAAGATAGTTGCATAGGTACACACATGGCAGTGTGTTTTGCTGCCTTCCTCCCCTTCACCAACATTTGGCATTTCTCCCCAGGCTATCCCTCCCCCGTTCCCCCCCCCACTGTCCCTCCCCTATTCCCCCCAATAGACCCCAGTGTGTAGTACCCACTTCCCTGTGTCCATGTGTTCTCATTTTTCCTCACCCGCCTATGAGTGAGAATACGGGTATTTCATTTTCTGTTCTTGTGTCAGTTTGCTGAGAATGATGTTCTCCAGATTCATCCATGTCCCTACAAAGGACACAAACTCATCATTTTTGATTGCTGCATAATATTCCATGGTGTATATGTGCCACATTTTCCCAGTCCAGTCTATCATCGATGGGCATTTGGGTTGGTTCCAGGTCTTTGCTATTGTAAACAGTGCTGCAATGAACATTCGTGTGCATGTGTCCTTATAGTAGAACGATTTATAGTCCCTTGGATATATACCCAGTAATGGGATTGCTGGGTCAAATGCAATTTCTATTTCTAAGGCCTTGAGGAATCGCCACACTGTCTTCCACAATGGTTGAACTAATTTACACTCCCACCAACAGTGTAAAAGTGTTCCTATTTCTCCACATCCTCTCCAGCATCTGTTGTCTCCAGATTTTTTAATGATTGCCATTCTAACTGGTGTGAGATGGTATCTCAGTGTGGTTTTGATTTGCATCTCTCTAATGACCAGTGATGATGAGCATTTTTTCATATGTTTGTTGGCCTCATGTATGTCTTCTTTTGTAAAGTGTCTGTTCATATCCTTTGCCCACTTTTGAATGGGCTTGTTTTTTTCCTGTAAATCTGTTTGAGTTCTTTGTAAATTCTGGATATCAGCCCTTTGTCAGATGGGTAAACTACAAAAATTGTTTCCCATTCTATTGGCTGCCGATTCACTCTAGTGATTGTTTCTTTTGCTGTGCAGAAGCTGTGGAGTTTGATTAGGTCCCATTTGTCTATTTTGGCTTTTGTTGCCAATGCTTTTGGTGTTTTAGTCATGAAGTCCTTGCCTACTCCTATGTCCTGAATGGTTTTGCCTAGATTTTCTTCTAGGGTTTTTATGGTGCCAGGTCTTTTAAGTCTTTAATCCATCTGGAGTTAATTTTAGTGTAAGGTGTGAGGAAGAGGTCCAGTTTCTGCTTTCTGCACATGGCTAGCCAGTTTTCCCAACACCATTGATTAAACAGGGAATCCTTTCCCCATTGCTTGTTTTTGTCAGGTTTGTCAAAGATCAGATGGTTGTAGATATGTTGTGTTGCCTCCGATGCCTCTGTTCTGTTCCGTTGGTCTATATCTCTGTTTTGGTACCAGTATCATGCTGTTTCGATTACTGTAGCCTTGTAGTATAGTTTGAAGTCCAGTAGTGTGATGCCTCCTGCTGTGTTCTTTTTGCTTAGAATGGACTTGGTTATGCGGGCTCTCTTTTGGTTCCATATGAAGTTCATGGTGGTATTTTCCAGTTCTGTGAAGAAAGTCAATGGTAGCTTGATGGGGATAGCATTGATTCTGTAAATTACTTTGGGCAATATAGCCATTTTCACGATATTGATTCTTCCTAACCATGAACATGGAATGTTTTTCCATCTGTTTGTGTCCTTGCTTATTTCGTTGAGCAGTGGTTTGTAGTTTCCTTGAAGAGGTCCTTTACGTTCCTTATAAGTTGTATTCCTAGGTATTTTATTCTCTTTGTAGCAATTGTGAATGGCAGTTCGTTCTTGATTTGGCTCTCTTTAAGTCTGTTATTGGTGTATAGGAATGCTTGTGATTTTTGCACATTGATTTTATATCCTGAGACTTTGCTGAAGTTGCTTATCAGTTTCAGGAGTTTTTGGGCTGAGGCGATGGGGTCTTCTAGGTATACTATCATGTCGTCTGCAAATAGAGACAATTTGGCTTCCACCTTTCCTATTTGAATACCCTTTATTTCTTTTTCTTGCCTGATTGCTCTGGCTAGAACTTTCAGTACTATATCAAATAGGAGTGGTGAAAGAGGGCATTCTTGTCTAGTGCCAGATTTCAAAGGGAATGCTTCCAGTTTTTGCCCATTCAGTATGATATTGGCTGTTGGTTTGTCATAAATAGCTTTTATTACTTTGAGATACGTTCCATCAATACTGAGTTTACTGAGGGTTTTTAGCATAAAGGGCTGTTGAATTTTGTCAAATGCCTCTCTGCATCAATTGAGATAATCATGTGGTTTTTGTTTTTGGTTCTGTTTATGTGGTGAATTATGTTTATAGACTTGCATATGTTGAACCAGCCTTGCATCCCTGGGATGAATCCTACTTGATCAAGGTGGATAAGCTTTTTGATGTGCTGTTGCAATCGGTTTGCCAGTATTTTATTGAAGATTTTTGCATCTATGTTCATCATGGATATTGGCCTGAAGTTTTCTTTTCTTGTTGAGTCTCTAACGAGTTTTGGTATCAGGATGATGTTGGTCTCATAAAATGATTTGGGAAGGATTCCCTCTTTTTGGATAATTTGCAATAGTTTCAGAAGGAATGGTACCAGCTCCTCTTTGTGTGTCTGGTAGAATTCGGCTGTGAACCTATCTGGACCTGGACTTTTTTTTGTGTGGTAGGCTCTTAATTGCTTCCTTGACTTCAGACCTTGTTATTGGTCTATTCATAGTTTTGGCTTCCTCCTGGTTTAGGCTTGGGAGGACACAGGAGTTCAGGAATTTATCCATTTCTTCCAGGTTTCCTAGTTTATGTGCATAGAGTTGTTTGTAATATTCTGTGATGATGGTTTGAATTTCTGTGGAATCTGTGGTGATTTCCCCTTTATCGTTTTTTATTGCATCTGTTTGGTTGTTCTCTCTTTTTTATCAGTCCGGCTACTGGTCTGCCTATTTTGTTAATCTTTTCAAAAAACCAGCTCTTGGATTTATTGATTTTTTGAAGGGTTTTTCGTGTCTCTATCTCCCTCAGTTCTGCCCTGATCTTCGTTATTTCTTGTCTTCTGCTAGGTTTTGAGTTTTTTTCATCTTGCTCCTCTAGCTGTTTCAATTTTGACGATAGGATGTCAATTTTGGATCTCTCCACTCCTCTCATATGGGCACTTATTGCTGTATATTTTTTTTAGAGACTGTTTTAAATGTGTCCCAGAGATTCTGGCATGTTGTGTCTTTGTTTTCGTTGGTTTCGAAGAACTTCTTTATTTCTGCCTTCATTTCATTGTTCATCCAGTCAACATTCAAAAGCCAGGTGTTCAGATTCTGAGTTCTAACTTGATTGCACTATGGTCTGAGAGACTGTTTGTTATGATTCAGTTGTTTTGCATTTACTGAGGAGTGCTTTACTTCCAATTATGTGGTTGATTTTGAAGTAGGTATGATGTG